TTATTTTAGGTTTTCTCACAAATAATCAATGAGGATTTTAAATACTTATATTCATAGTCGAACTATGGTATCCTTATTTAGTACTTTCGAACGTGTGACGGCTACAATGTTACTACGCATTACGTGTACGATTTTAAGTCTCTTGAATTATGAATAGTTATAATATAGGCACGCTTATTCTTATTTCAGGTTTATGTTTCCTAACGAATGATCGAGAGTAGAGAGTCTTTATTAATTATGCCTTTTATGCTATCAATATTATTAATTTAAAAGTGAATTATTACTCTGTCGTCATTTGTGAGAAGACATGTTTATCCTACGAGTAATTATATGTGATTAAATATTCGTTATTACCGGTCTTTCATGCAGGTTAGAGATTGTCATGACTAATAGATTAAAGGATAAAGTTTTGAAAAAGTTTGAAGTTTTGAAATTTGTCTGGACGTTACATCTCCCCTCCTATTTAAGAATAAAACCCGACGTTGATCTAGGGTTTTGTTCTAGATTAAAGAGATGTTGTTGCAAGTCGTTATACGTTTGAGGACGGTGATATTTGTGGATTCCATTTCTTCAGGTCGTCTCATATTATAACCTTGAAGTTGAGGCTGACTTATCACAGGTGGTTCCTTTGGTAATGCAGGGGGTACGTCTGAGATGATGGCAAGAGATGTGGCATCTTCTGGAAACTTATTCTTTTCTTTTTCTTCGTTTATATTCTTGCGGCTGAGGTGAAGCAGGAGATTAGTTAGAGAGTCCCATATGCTCCTATCAGGTGTAGACTACATCCATATACGGTGTGTAACGCGTATCCATGAATGATGGTATCGATTGCCAATTAAGCAATACGAACGATCATAAATATTCCAACGACTCCGGCCGTGGCTGATCCAAAGCTCATGAATCCTCTCCATATTTTCGCAGCGGTGTTGTCTACGATTTTATTGAGTGATTCTTCGTCTAGTAGTTTGTATAGCGAGACGGAGTTGGCGTTAACTGGATGTCCGGTGAGTCCACGTGCAATGGCGTTGAGTAGTGCCGGTTTCTCTGCGGGAAACATGATGTGGTCTCTTAATTTTTCTATGTCTTGCTGGGTGTAGATTCCACTGACAGCTAATGGTCCGGGTGTTAAATAACTCCAGGTAAGAGATGCCATGGGTCGTAGTTGTTGAGGTGACAACTGTCTTACTTTTGCTTTTGGCGTGAACTGTACCCAAGTGTCCTCTATCCGGTATAACGTTGGTAATTCTTGAGAACATTCTCGCTCGTTTCCGATCTTTGTGACGATTCTTGATTTGGGTGTGAGGAAGTAAGAAGAGTTTCTAACGGTTACGGGTAACTCGTTATAGCATTCTTTGGTTGGACGTACGGTGACTTCTACAGGGATGCATTTTATGATCTGGACAGCTTCCCCAGTGGTGACGGCCATGTATCCCGGTGACTTCATAAGACTGTACGCGAATTCATCAGGCAAGAGAGTTGCAGAAGACAAGGCGTTGGTTATTACTTGTCTTTCTAACTCGCATTTTTGTTGCATGACATTATGATATAATGATGTCATCTGATGTCGGATGTGTTTTTCGACATATACAAATTTGGAATTCATGTAAGTAAATATATCGAGGTTGTCCACGGGAATCGTACCCTTTTAGCAAAAGTTTGGCCTTGCTTGGTTTCCAGGATAAATAACTTCGGATGTTCCGTGCGAAGCAGAGTGTATCCGCATAATGGTTGTTCTTTAGTCTTGGTCAAAGCGAATGTGATGTCTTGTGTAGTGAGACTGTAGATGATGGGAGAATCGTCGCCTGCTATCCTGGTCGCTAGTCCTTCGTATAAAACATCGTATTGGTTAAAGTTGCAGGATTTCATTGGTACGGGTTTCCAAAAGGTGTAGCCATCATCGGAGTCTAAACAGAAGCTATCGGCCAGTGTGCAGATGGTTCCTGACCTTAACTTGATCTTCCCGTGTTCGAGTTGTACTGGCACATAAGATGATTTCAGTGAGATTTTCGCAACTGCTTGAACAATTACGTTATCCCATGTGCCGTAAGGGTCAGAGTATTGCGTACCCTTACATGTTCCGTCGGCTTTCAATTCACCGGCTAACGTAAGGCTACGATAAGAAGTTTGATTGATTTTGAGTCCGCTAATTAAGTGAGCAGGTCCCAAGGACGTTGTGCCATCTTGAAACATTCGCAAACATTGTGAATATCCGTTTCCTGGACGTAATCTGCTTTTCCATTAAAGACGACTGAGATGTGCGAGTGCATGCCACAGTGATATATCGTGCGAGATATTTCCAGTTTGCATTGTATAACCTCTGCATAATTATATTCGGAAAGTTGTAATAATTATATAGGTCTCCGTGGAGTTTGGAGTTTGATGATGGAGATTGCATTCTCCAACATCTAAGAGAGAGACGGCGGTGATGTTAAGATGCTGTCCACCACAATCGAATCCAATCAGGGCGAATGAAGTTTTAACGGAGAGTATTAGAATAATCCCTAACATCATGACAAGCTGTAACGCACAATCGGACTAGTTTTACTGAATTAAATACAATATAAAGAAATTATCTAGCATGTACGTGCGCACGAATATACGCACGTATCTATAGATATATACATGTGCACGTGCGGAGGTAGTCCTGGCATTGGGCGCAATGAACGGTGTGCGAGAAACTTTTAATAATTAAATAATAATATGCATGATTATATTGTCGTCCGTTTTCGGACTCGCACATGGACATATATATATGCGTGTATAATAGTAAGTACAAATGCATGTTAATGCGCAAGCGTATATGTTATAAATTATATTTCGTCTTATATCTATGTGTATCGGTTGCGCGGTTGCAGTTTTTGTTCTGCCCGTGTCTTTTGTAAGATTCAGAGAATTTATTCGAAATTTGCTATTTGATAGAATATGATTAGCTCGTTCACTGGTGGGGCCGGAGTCGATTTCTCCGAACCGGCAAGTATAAGCGTATATATTTTTCATAATTTTAAATTTATTAAGGTTTTTCGCAAGCTATTCATAGTGGTTAAATACGAGTTATTACCAGTGAGCGAGTTAATGGCAGAGTGTATAATATAATACGCATTGTATTAATTATCATATTGCATGGATATGAGTCTCATGCAATTTCGTGAGCCTTGTATGAGATGTACTTGAGTAAAGCATACCTCATACAAAGATGAAAAAAAATGGCTAAAAGTAGTAAGAATAAAGTTTTGAATAATGCACAGGGTTCCATGCTGAACAACCTGTTTAGTTAGGACGGTTTCCTGAAATGGGAATCTTACATGTGTAGTGTGGCGATAATATCGTCACATATTCCCCGGGTATAAGTAGAGACATACAAAAGGACGAAAACAAAAACGAGACAAAATAAACCAGTAAAGAGAAAACATAACAGACGAGACGTTTGACAACTAGCATCGAGACAGAAAAAAGAATAATAACACGAGTGAAAAAGATTAGGTGAGAAGATTCTCGAATGTCAAGAAGATAGGCGACAAGAGGAAATGTAACGCGCGATCAGGAGATTCGGTTTCCGACTGCTGTCGCGTGCGGATGTATACCGCGAATATTCTGTAGCGAACTCAAACGCAGCAATTATAACAGTTCTCATATTAAACCGATTTTGATTATTTACCCACTGACACACACAGATCCTCGCCTGCACCGGTGCATAAGAACCCGGGACATAAACGATTATTAAAGTGGTGACCCCGACGTGATCGTGAATACGCGAAGTGCAGGGATAGTTTCGCGATCGAGTGTCTAGTGTGTGAGGACGGAAAAGGAGTGACATGCCGGTGATGCGAGACGGCGAAGACGCTATTCCACGCGTGGAGCCGGAGGCGCGGGCGCTCGAGCGGCCGGGGATTCAGGCGCCGAATTCGCACCTGAGTGCGATGCAATCGGCCCGGGCGGAGCAGCCACCGGGGTATTATTTACCTGCCCCCGAGGTGAGTCGAGTGGGCATGCGAATGCCAGAGTTCACGCCGACGGATCCGGAGCTCTGGTTTAACATCGTCGACCGGGGTTTCCAGGCCGCCGGAATTACGGTCGACGCGACGAAGTTCGGGTACGCGTTGACTGCCCTCGGACCGCGTTATACCACCGAAGTGCGCGATATAATTATGAATCCGCCCCCGGAGCGCGCGTACGAGACTTTGAAAACCGAGCTTGTTAAGCGACTAAGTCTGTCGCAGGAGCACAAGACTCGGAGGCTCCTTGAACACGAGGAGATTGGCGATCGAAAGCCATCGCAATTTTTACGCCACCTTCGCGGTCTTGCCGGGAACGTGGTTGGCGACCAGGTGTTGCGGACCATCTGGTTGAGTCGGTTGCCGGCTCATCTTCAGCCGCATTTAGTGACGCGCGCGGCCGATACGCCCGAACAATTAGCGGACATCGCGGATGCGATAGTCGAGGCGACCCGTGCGCCGATATTTCAAGTGGCGGAGGCGACGAAATTTGTGACGCCCCAGGGTCAGAGTGCGGTTGACCCCGCGTCCTGGGAAGCGAGGATGGAAGTACGACTCGCGCAGATGCGGCTGGCCATGCAACAAGAGATGGCGGAGCAGCTGACAGCCATCCGGCGGTCGATCGAGGCGATCGGGAGCGGTCGTTTCGGAGAGGACCGCGATGACGACCGACGTCGTTCGCGTTCGCGTCCACGCCAGCGTTCGCATTCGCGCCCGCGAGAGCGATCAGGAAGCCGTGATCCGCCGGCCAGTGGAATCTGCTGGTATCACTGGCAATTTGGACCGAGTGCTCGACAATGCAGGCCGCCCTGCACAATGCAGTCGGGAAACGCGGGGGCCGGTCGCTAGTGGCGGCGAGTGACTCGGGCCACGAGGCGCGTCGCCTGTTCGTAACCGACGCGAACACTAAAGTGAGTTTTTTAATTGACACGGGCGCGGATCTCTGCGTGTATCCTCGGAAAATGGTTCGAGGACCGCGACAGAGATCGACCTACGAACTTTCGGCCGCGAACGGCACACCAATATATACATACGGGACAGAAACATTAGTTTTAAATTTTGGATTACGGCGTGCATTTTTGTGGCGATTCGTGATCGCGGACGTTTCGCGACCTATAATCGGCGCCGATTTTCTGGCGCATTACGGACTCCTCGTCGATCTGCGAAATTCTCGTCTCGTCGACCAGGTGACGAGCTTGACCGCGCGCGGACGATGCATCCGATGCGATGCACCCTGCGTCAAAGCGGTCACGGGAGAGACGCCGTATCACCGGTTGTTGGAGCGATACGCGGACATCGCGAGGCCAAACGGGCGCCCAAGAGAAGCGATCCACACAACGCGACATCATATAGAAACGACACCGGGACCGCCTGTCGCGTGTAGGCCGCGGAGGCTCGCTCCGGACCGATTGGCGGCCGCGAAGAACGAATTCAGAAGGATGGTGGAAGCTGGAATCGCGCGACCTTCAAGGAGTAGTTGGTCGGCGCCCCTACATATGGTGCCAAAAAAGGACGAAGAGTGGCGACCCTGTGGAGACTACAGGGCGCTGAACGCGCGAACGGTCCCGGATCGCTACCCGGTGCGACATATACAGGATTTCGCGCAGGCCCTCGGCGGTAGGAAAGTTTTTACCACGCTGGACCTAGTGCGGGCATACCACCAGATACCGGTAGCGGAGGAGGACATCCCGAAGACGGCGATCACCACGCCGTTCGGCATGTATGAATTTCCATACATGTCGTTCGGATTACGCAACGCGGCACAGACGTTTCAGCGGTTCATCGATGAGGTTTTGCGCGACCTTGAATTCTGCTACGCATACATCGATGACATCCTCGTCGCGTCATCGTCAGAGGAAGAACACCACGAGCACCTACGGACGGTGTTTGAGCGTTTGCGAGTATACGGGGTAGTGATCAACCCCACGAAGTGCGTATTCGGACAACGAAGGGTGGAATTCCTCGGATACGAGGTGTCCGACGAAGGAACACGACCGCTGCCGGCGCGAGTGGAGGCAATCCTCGCGTGTCAGATGCCGAGGACCGCGAAGGAATTGAGGAGGTACTTGGGCATGGTAAATTTTTACCGAAGATTCATGCCTAAAGCTGCCGAGATTTTGGCACCGCTCAATGATCTTCTTCGAGAGAACATTAAGGGCAAGACGCCGATATCGTGGACGCAGCAGACTCAACGAGCATTCGAAACATCGAGGGAAGGCTTGGCCGAGGCCGCGCTTCTGAGGCACCCGAGGACGAACGCGGAGCTCGCGTTGTTTACTGACGCGTCCGAACAAAGCGTCGGCGCGGCATTACAACAGCGGGGCAGCGACGGCTGGGAGCCGTTAGCTTTCTTCTCGAAGAAGCTAAGCCCAGCCGAATCGAAGTATAGCGCCTTTGATAGAGAGCTACTGGCGATATACTTGGCGGTCAAGAATTTTCGGCACATGTTGGAAGCGCGCGCGTTCGCGGTATATACCGACCATAAGCCAATCACCTTTGCCTTCCGACAGAAACCGGAGAAAAGCACGCCGCGCCAGTTCCGCCACTTAGACTACATCGGACAGTTTACGACGGACATCCGGCACGTGACGGGCGAGGAGAATGTCGTGGCGGACGCGCTATCGAGAATCGAGGAGCTCCAAGCTCCTATGAATTACGCCGCACTGGCGGAATCACAGAGGACCGATGAGGAGCTCGAGGAGTATTTGCGACGGGAGACGGGACTAAAGCTGAGCAAGGTGGAGATCCCCGGAACCGGAATCGCGATCTACTGCGACACAGCGACGCCGACACCAAGGCCATATTTGACAAGGTCTTTCCGTCGGACCGCATTCGACCTGGTGCACGGCCTGGCACACCCAGGGATCAAGTCGACGGGCAGACTCGTGGCGCAACGCTACGTCTGGCCGTCGATGAGAGTGGACTGCCGCAATTGGGCTCGTTCTTGTGTGCCCTGCCAGCGATCCAAGGTGTCTCGACACGTGTCGGCGCCCTTGGGAAAATTCACCGTACCATCCAACAGGTTCGAGCACGTCCACCTGGACATCATCAAGATGCCGGTCTCGGAGGGCAAGCAATATTGCCTCACGTGCGTGGACCGTTTCACGAGGTGGCCGGAGGCGTTCCCCGTACGAGACCAGGAGGCGAAGACGATCGCAAGGGTTTTTTACGAGGGATGGATCTGCCGGTTTGGGGCACCCCTCCGAATCACGACAGACCAGGGGACTCAATTTGAGTCCAGTCTGTTTCGACGACTGAGCGAGATGACGGGAGCGGAAAGACTGAGGACGACGGCATACCACCCGCAGGCGAACGGAATGGTCGAGCGGTTTCATCGCCAGCTCAAAGCGGCGATCAAGTGCCAGCAGAGCGACCGCTGGACGGAGACGCTGCCGACGGTCCTGCTGGGGATTAGAGCAGCGTGGAAGGACGACCTACAGGCGACCACAGCCGAATTGGTGTACGGACAGACGTTAAGGATCCCGGGACAATTCCTAAGCCGGCTGCCGACGGACAACGAGGACAGCGCCGTCGACCTCGTCAGGACGCTACGTGAGCAGTTCGAGAGACTGCGGCCGGTGGACGGAACCCGACACGGGGAGCGACGGCCGTTCGTTTACAAAGACCTAGCGACGGCCGGGCAGGTGTTCGTGCGACGCGACGGACCGAGGAAGATGCTGCAGGCGCCATACGAGGGACCGTACGAGGTTGTCAGCCGCAGCGACAAAGTCTTTGTCGTGCGTATGCACGGCAAAGAAAAAGCGATCTCCATAGATCGCATAAAACCCGCTTATCTGGTTACAGAGTACGAGACGGAAGATAGGGGCCCGACGGAGGCGACGGCGCAAGGCCGGGATGCAGAGGTCGATCGAGATATGCGCAAGGGCGCGAGGCCGCCTCGCCGACGGGGCGAGACGACGACGAGAGCAGGAAGAAAGGTTCGGTTTCCGGACCACTTCCAGGCGGGCCTGTGACGCGGAGGCGAGAACAATTATTTCGGGTCGCGAGGTTCCGAGAGAGCGACTATTTCCCTTGACCTATTAATGTTTCTGTATTTATATCGCTGTTCCATTGTATTCCATTTAGTTTTTTTTTGTTCCCAAGGAATTGACACGCGTACGCATAGGCGAGCACGAACGACCGTATTATGATCACATACTAGCGAATTTCTTTATGGTGTTGTGGTAGACAGGTGCAGTGTTACGTCGAGAGAAAAAAAAAAAATGTAACTCGCAGCGTCCACGCATCAGAATATCGTGCTATCGGTATAGCACTGGCGGGGGAGTCCTGTGGCGATAATATCGTCACATATTCCCCGGGTATAAGTAGAGACATACAAAAGGACGAAAACAAAAACGAGACAAAATAAACCAGTAAAGAGAAAACATAACAGACGAGACGTTTGACAACTAGCATCGAGACAGAAAAAAGAATAATAACACGAGTGAAAAAGATTAGGTGAGAAGATTCTCGAATGTCAAGAAGATAGGCGACAAGAGGAAATGTAACGCGCGATCAGGAGATTCGGTTTCCGACTGCTGTCGCGTGCGGATGTATACCGCGAATATTCTGTAGCGAACTCAAACGCAGCAATTATAACAGTTCTCATATTAAACCGATTTTGATTATTTACCCACTGACACACACAGATCCTCGCCTGCACCGGTGCATAAGAACCCGGGACATAAACGATTATTAAAGTAAGTATTATCGAAATATACCTGTAATTTTTGTGCTGAGATTTTGATAATCTTTACGGCGTCTAGGCTAAAGAGAACCTGTAATTAGGAATACATATGTTATTATACATGAATAATCTAGAGATATAAGACGTGGTCGTCCTTACATCTAGGCTGTGCACTAGGCATATTAATTGGAATCAAACCATAGTATAATGTCCTTGATATAGTTGCGTGAGGTCGTCAGATACTCATCATACTGGCGAATAGGGGCAGTGGGCTCGGAAGATTTTGATAATCTTTAATGAACCTGTAATTAGGAATACATATGTTATTATACATGAATAATGAGAGATATAAGACGTGGTCGTCCTTACATCTAGTGAATTAATATAATTAGTAATATATAGTTTTATAGAGTAGGCTGGAAATGATTAATGGTAGGCACGATTCCATCCCAGTGTCTGATGGTATCGTTGCGTTTCCATACGTTTACTACATATTGTATATAGGTAAAGAAACATTCTTCACAGTGAGTTATAGGTTCAATTTTATAACAGGCATAGCGACAGTTGAGACATGGAATAGGAGGTGCGGTTTCGCAGACAAGAACGTGATAATTGTAAATGTCTTTAGGTGCAGTTCGAGTTCTTCGCGTGATGCGACAAACTTGGCAATAGTTGTCGTAAATTGTACTTCTATAGCATCTAGCTCTATGTATATTAGGAAAGAATTCTAGCATTTTCTTTATTAGAGGAAATCTCGGTAACAGAGTGTGGAGTTCGACGATATTAGGATGTTCGTAATATGTATTAGAGGCTGTTGCGTTGTGATCGCAAGGATTATTAGAAGACATTTTTTTTTAATATTGTTGGAACGTCTTAAACAGCTAGAGGTGATTCAAGGGTGATTCCCGATCTATAGACGTTAGATAATTAGTGCAAATTGTGCAATTTTGTATTGGTTTGGAAATTGTTAGGAGTTGGGAACATACAGAACACTGTGGTTCGGGATAACCTAATCCAATCACGACAGCGTGAGTATATCGTGTTTGGTAAAAGGAGCGTGCAGCTAGATCAAGACTGGAATAACAATTTCTACAACGTGCAGAATTAGTGACTACGTTACGATATCCGTGTACCTTTACGCAGCGTGCGAAGGCGAATATGT